TATGCCTTAAATCATTTTTTTCTTGATTCCCATAATACAATGGGTTGGTTAATTGATTTAATGATAAGTTAACCTGCCAGATTCCAAATGCACTACGTTATGCACCACTTCTGTTATTTAATATTTTAGTTGATTGATCTATCTTATTAAATATTCAGATTACAATAACATATCTTAATGTTCGTATGTACTCATTTGTTGTGATAAAGGAGTGGTTAGCTGTCTTGTAAAGTAGTCTTTCTACTTTATGCAAATAAAACTGTCGCAAATGCTTCACTTCGGTTGTTTTCCATGCCTTATTGCTAACTGTAAGTTTGGTAAGCACATAATTCCCCGATACCGTTATCAGTTTATAAAGTAACTAATTTTTGTACTACTCTTGGACCGGTGCTTTCATTTGATGGTTTATACCGTTTCTAACCAAACAAATTAGTGTAGAACAGTTTCATTAGATATGTTATTGTAATAGACTTGTTATCAACCATTTTAAAACCTATAGCAACCTCCTTGCGACTGAGGTTGCAAAGAGGTTTCCAAAAGGTTGCAAGTGCAGTGTGACCCAGGCTTAAGCGGATGTTGATTGCTTCAAGAACTTTTCGGTGTAGATCTCGTGTCTCTCTTCCAAGATCTTTATGTCTTCTATGGTTGTTGATGTTATACAATACCCTGTCTGTTCCTGGTGTTGGCTGAGGGCAGATTTTTTATCATGTTTTTTTTTATCGATTTTTGATGTTCAGCGATTATTTCTGTTAAGGAACGTCCTGTCTCTCCAATGTATTTCTCTTCACACACCTGACACTCACACTGGTATACAACTCCATACTGTTCTGCTGGGTCTAATTTGTCCTTACCACCCCTAAGGGAGGGGCAGGCAAGGGGGGCGAGCACTGACCAAATAGCACACCAAAGGGGGTGACAGTTTGTCACACCTGTCACAACCTCATTCCCTGATGAAATCTGACTGCAAGCAGATGAAATATTGGATGGTAAGTTCAAACTAATATAAATAGCTATAGACAAAAGAATCTTCACAAGTCCAAACAACTTAGGTTATAAACGAGGAAAGATTTATGTAGGCCGCTATGGAATTGAAATGGCAGAGGGGTGTTTCATTTGGACATAACGCATAAAAAAACAATGTTGCTTTAGATACAAAAATATGCAGCAAATGACAAAAGGTATAAACTGACTTGTAAACCTAGCATTGACAAAAACTCATCGCTTTAATAAAAGTTCGCAGTCTTTGCCCTCAAAAACACATCAGCATGTCACCTTGCGTGTACTTAACATGAATTAACAATCCCGAAAATTTGAAAATGGCACGTTGGGAATCACAAGCAGATAATCAATTACGCTGTAAATAACAAAACCATGCCCTGAATGTCAGGACACTATGAAGCTAGTTTGCTCACTATGCATACCTTTTCGTGGGGAGCTTTACAGTGTCCCAGACGAATAGCAGCAATATTGAGTATCCGCCAATCACAGGAACTGATCTGCAATGAATCTTCAGTAACAAGTCCAAAGTCAAACGTAAAGCACATGCACTTTTGCTCTGTTTAATTTCATTTACTCTATTTGAGACGTAACTTGACAAATTAGTAATATAGTTTTAAAAGAAAAATATATATACCAGATGTTTTTTTTTTTCAACAAACATTTGCTCCTGAAGATATAAACACAATTGACGTGTGCAAAGTTTGACAGCTACACTGTATGCCTAATACCACCAAAATGACTGCGCAATGGCTACACCAAAAATCAGTTTTTAAACCAGAAAGGTGCATGTGTTGCGGCAGTGATTATATTCTTAGTTCAAACTTCAAACTCCACGTCAGCCACTCTGTTTATTTGTCTCGTCTGCACTGGATAACGTCAGCTCCAGGCGGGAAAGGCAGCTCCAGGCGGGACAGATCTGTGACGTACTGTGCTTAGTTTGCAGATTACATGACCGTATCAGCTGCGGACGCCAACGACCCGGTCTACGGATACCACTCTTTACCAAAACGGGCTACTTCATTTCTCGCGTTTGCAAGGGCTAAACAAGACGAAGTTCCGTCAAACATAAGTATTAAACCGGCATTTTGTCCCTTGTGTTGTTTGTCAGTGTGACGATTTCAAGATAATAGTCGTGTCAGCGCTAATCGCGTTGGTGAACAGACGCAAGTTATGTTTCAATTGTTTAGACGCGGACCCTATTCCCCATGTGCAAAGTGTCCTGTTGTGCTTATTAGCACTCGAGATTACTGCACGTATTTTCCGAAACAACTCATGTCGATCGTGACTAATATTAGTGTTCGGTCAATTGAGGCGGCGGGTTATTTAAATGCGTCAGCGTGCTTTTTTACAGCATCGGTCTCTGTGACTTTGCCCATTGTTACAGTGAGAGTGAATGACAAGATAAAAGCACTCGCGCTTTTAGATAGCGGGTCAACGTCTACTTTTATATCACAGCACTTGGCTTCTTCTCTTTGCCTCGATACAAAAGATGACGTGTTGTGTCGGCTAAGTACGCTTGACCGTTCAAGGTCTATTAGGTCGGCTGCTGTTCCAATTGACGTGCCTCCTTGCAGCGACGCTACGAAGACGTACCACTTATCGAATGTGTTACATGTCCCAACTATATAAGTTCGAGCAAACCAACCTATCCAAGTGTCAGCTTCCCCGCATCTACCAGATATAAATAATGTTCTTTATGCCTTATGCATTGCCTCCTAGCAGATAAAGAGTATCGATTGACTACAAAGCAAACAAACCTCACATTTAATGGGTCTTTGCCCTAGGTTTCACACCTCTCACCCTTTACAAGTTAAGCTATTCATAAGTGCAGTCATACTACCACCACATCAACAGTATCGTGGTTCAAAAGAGCTTTAGCCACTGACCCACGTACACACGTACTAAACAATAGTGATCAATTATCACACGTACACTTTCTACAGATAATGTCCATCAATATACTTTAATTGATCGGCTTTTTTATCTTTTATGTCAACCTGTTAAGTTATAATACTCATGCCCATACCCGTCATAATCTGTCGTCAGGCCTAAATGAGAGTATTGGATTTTTAATAAAGTTCGCAATAGCATTCGGATGCATTCGAATACAATAAAGTGAAACTTTTAAGTAAAGCTTTTATTTTATTTTATTTTTTTTTATCATTACTAATACTATTTTGTCCAATAAATATTTTTTAACCTGACCACATTTATGTGGCTAAATGTTCACAGCCACAACGAAGCTGGTTTTACTGAAATGCTAAGAGTCCATATGAGTGAAAACGGTCAATTATTAATGACGAAGGATAATAACATAGAAAGTTACAAAATAGATGGATAATTTCATCCCCAGTACTATATAACTGCCATAACATAACGTTGATGAAGTGGGTTATTGAGTACAGCCAAGATTAATTAAGATAATATGTGAAACAACAACAGCCATAGAAGCAAAAAGCTAACACAACTGATACATACAAGGCCACCTTATTTACATAATAGGGGGATTTTTATAGATACCCATTCTAAAGAACTATAGTAATATTAATAACAAAGTTTGGTTTAATGAGTGCAACCTACGTTAAGAAAATTGACAGCATGAAAGCTGTGTGAAATAACAAAAGCTATTGCAGCAAAAAGTTGGCACAAACCTTAACTAAAGGCTCAGAATAGTGCAAAAAAAAAAAAATAGATGAAATAAAATAAAATAATAATAATAATAATAATAATAATAATAATAATAATAATAATAATAATAATAAATAAAATAAATAAATAAATAAGGGTTAGAAAGCAGGTGATAGCCAGATGATGTTGGAGGGTGAACAAATAAAAATGAAATAACAAAGTAATATTCCAGTGTAGCTGCTATTACTGCACTACAGAACGATGCGGGTAAATATCACTGCAGCTAAAATGCTGCATAAATGGCTCCTTAATGATGTAGCTCAATAGGAATAGCTACCAAACACATTGATCATAACAAACACATGTCCCAAAGACTATTCCCTATCAATATAATGTTTATGTATATATAATTGTTACTATCACTAGTAAGCATTCCCTACATAAATATAACTATCTTATTTGTTCTTTTTAGAGTCATTTTATAATGTATATTCTAACGGTTTTATTACGTGATTTTATTATGTGAATTATTTTTGCGACTGCATGTATGTACTATATATGTCTTTCACCCTGGTAATAATGAAGAGATGATAATAAATGTTTATAAATATGGAAATAAAGAAATAAAGAAATTAATTGATTAATTTATTAATATAAGCCTGACGACCTTTGAATCTGAAGCCATCACAAATTTCTAGCACACAGCTTTGGCTATACAGCATCGGGAGCAAATAAATTCATCTAGAAGTATCTTTGACAGTGTCACATGATGAATAAGCTGGTTGCCAATCACTTTTATATATATACATATACTTTATCGCTGCTCACTTATTTGCAAGTTGCCGTGGGTCCATTAAGCCATCCAAGAAGATAGATAGCGTAAAGACAATATATAGAAGAATACACAGTTATTCAAGTTATCCAAGTACAGCAAGATTCTTCTTGGTAAGTGTGGATTTTTTTATTTTTCTACATGCAATAGCAAATCGAAGCCTAACTCTGCTCAGTTTTCTGTATCGTTATAGAAAATATAAAGAGAATGGTTTCGGAATTCTTTCATCCTTGAGCGAGTCCATTGAGGGAAACACTTGTCTTAGTGGGCTTACTTTGGTGCTGTCGTTTTAAGTGACAACTGATGAGCAACTTAAAATAGGGGAATAGCTTTGGGCTCGTCCAGCTGCATTCAGTATGTACCCTGTGCTATATTTCTGAACATTTACCTGTGGAACAGAGAAATATAAAGGTAGTTGGAGAAGCTTTTGATGAAAAGAGATATATAGAGCTTCATATGTACATTTTGCTCGAACGAAATGATAATTTGCAAAGTGTGGGTTATATGTGAGTTCGGGTAAATGAATTTGTGAATACAAAATTAAAGTTTTGGACTGGAGGAGAATTAAACCATTATTTCATTTAATGAATTTCCTATAATTTAGTTCAATGTACATTAGTTATATGGAGCGTGCTTGAAGCTAAAACTAAGAACCTGTAGTCTGTGTATGTGTACTGCGTAATTTTGTAATAATAAAAAAAAAATTGAGTAAGAAATGTATACATAGTAGCTTCAACGTAAGCATTCATGATGATAATGTATTTTATACACTTTACATGTGAAGTTCGGTCAAGAGTTGTGAAACCTAAATCACCCAAACGTTATAAAAATATATATGAAATGTAATTCTTATCTATTAATATTCTACGACAAACCTAAAAATCACGTCCTGTGTTGTAAATTAAAGTATAGTGTGGACTGAATAGTGACTGTTATTTTTCTCATTAAAACAACGACTAATGGAAACGCACAACTCCTATATCTATTATGGGTAAATGGTATATTATGCGGGTGCTTTTATTTCGAAAAACGACAGGCAACTCAAAGATCATGACTGACTCTTAGTTACCTTGATCTGCAGTGCAGTACCGGACTCCCCGTGACATCAAGTAGTAGTTTTACTCGAAAATTCTGCCGTGTCCCAGGCACCAAGCATTGCATTTAACCTAGAATTTGATTTAAAAGGCAGCACGTTTCTTTTTCTTTACCACCGTTCATATTTGCTTTTTACAATCCATTTGGTTTTCTTTACCTGAGCGCCATTATGTGAATATGCCACTAAATTATAAGCTGTCAATTTTTTACTTGACTTTTGTTTCCCGGTTGTCTTGGTTTGTTTTCTTACTAGCGGAATCTTAAAAAGGTCCAGCAGTGCACGTAACTGTAATAAAAGTAGGGTAACATAAAGAGACGGTACATCAGCCAGGACACACATTAATATAAACCTTTCTATTTGAGTATTATTTCGGCTCTTATGGTAAATGGCGACAATTGCATTTGAGATATGATTGCAAACTGCAGTAAGCCCCCACCCCTATAAGCGATGTCTGTCATTTGCTATATGTGTGTGTTGAAAATGGATAAGCAATGATTTCCGAACATAAGGGAAAATGACGTTGATGACAGAGCATTGTGGAGTTAATATAAAGCGTATTTTAATAGGTTTTACAATTAAGAGTGTTTTGGGTACCACCGGACCAATCTTATTTACTTAACAAAATCAGTATAGATGGCAAAGCATATCTTCTTCAATATCACTGTTAAATTAATATCGTTGATATATAATTGTTACTATCAATATTTTTTGTAATATTAATTAAATTTAATTTAATGTGTTTTTTTTTAGCTGAACGTCATTGGGTTTAAAGGATGATTTCATCCTGTTTGAGAAATGATAAAAGTCTTGTTTAACATTAGATTGCACGCTTCAGTAATCCCTCCCCCCTTTTTTATTTTATTTTATTATATATATATATATATATATATATATATATATATATATATATATATATATATATATATATCAGATTTGAATCTGATGCATTTATACTGTAAATATGCTCCACACCACTGCACACCAATTTGTGGCTTATGCTTCTTTGCTAACTTCGATACTACTGCATTTTTGAGCGGGTATCTTGAATGTTACTGAAATATATATATATATATATATATATATATATATATATATATATATATATATATATATATATATATATATATATATATAACAAACGGAAACATTACGTACTCTTCTATACTATACTGTGACCTGAAAGGTGTCGCCATTTTAACAATGAAGACAATGGAAATCCTCAGCTTTAAATTCAATACTAGTTGACGGATTATTTGTGGCTTATGCTGGTATCCATTAGTCCGAAAACAGCGGAGCAGTCCACGCTTATTTTGCCTTAATTGCCTTGACCCGCGTGAGTGGGTTTGCTAGCCCCCCCCCCACCCACCCCCCCCTCGATTGTATATATCTAATAATGGTGAGATGGCCAAAATAGATAATAGATAATAGATAATTAAATAAATAAATATACCTTTGTGCCTGAAGTCTTCATAACTACAGGTATCTACCATACAATCGTGGGTATACACGGTCGGAGGAATATAAAATAATCTAAAATTACTATCTTTGCCAAGTCAAGTTATAATAAACTGGCAGTCAACTAATGTTATTTATACATATATTTTATTGCTGCTCACTTATTCGCAAGTTGCCGTGGGTCCATTAGCCATTCAAGAAGACAGATAGCGTAAAGACAATCTATAGAAGAATACTCAGTTACTCAAGTTACTCAAGAGCAAGAAATTACTTCTTGGTGACATGCAATATCAAATATAAATATAGGCCGGTATTCCAAGTTGTTCCTTAAAATAGGCCTAATAAAGGTCAACTTTTATAAAGGCTTCCTTTGATGAGGTGTCCCTTGGTAAAGGAAGGCCTAACGAAATGGTATTCTAAGACCACATTTTAGCCTCTCCTTTGATAAGGAATTACTTTTTCAGCCTTTAGGTAATAAAGGCTGACATAAAGGAGCTCCTCATTGGTTAAAGTAGGCCTCTGTGACACCATCCTCGTTATAAACGCCTCAGTAATGTTGTATAATTGGGGTCAACTGGTCAACTTCAATCACGCAACAGTGCATATGGACATTATCACTGCATGTGGATGTTTTGATCTAAGCCAATCTATTGATCTAAGTAACAATTTACCGAAAAAAGCAACTAATAAATAAATAAATAATAATAAAATGATAAAGAATAGTAATAAGTAAATAAAGTAGCTGAAGCCGTCTTTCGAGAAACGGAACCTTACAAAGAAATCGTCATCGGTGAAGTGCGGAGCGGTAAGCACCTACTTGGCTTATTTTTGGTCTCCTGGATAAGACTTTAGAAATATTTAATATTTTCTTTCTTTGCCAACGCTAAGTCCTGCTGTCGTTTTAAGTGACAACTGTCGAGCACCTGAAGATAGGGGAATACCGGTAGCATGCATGGTAGCTTAAGCGCACAGTCAACCATGGCAACCATGTGCAGGCAACCATGATGATAATGTAGAATGTGCACCTTACACGTGAAGTTCGGTCAAGAGTTGCGAAACCAAAATGTCCCTGACGTTACATCCACGCGTTATAAAATATCAGAATTGAATTTATATAATATTCATATTCTATGAGAAACCTAAAAACCAAGTTCTGTGCTTTAGAGTATATTATACTGTGAAATAAAGCGTGACTGTTATTTTTACCATATAAACAACGACTAATAGAAACACACAACTCTATAATGGTTGTTTGGTATTTTATACGGGTGCTCTTAATTCGAAAAACAGCAGGCAACTCAAAGATCATGATTGACTCTGAGTTACCTTGATCTGCAGTAGCAGGACCGTTAGTGTTCTCTCGGGCTCCCTGAAACATTACGTAGGATTTTAGTAGAACATTTTGACGAGTACCACGCACCAAACATTGACCATCCTCAACTGTTTACGGGACTCAATGTTTAAGACTACGGTACGCTACGTCTCAAATAAGTAGCCCAAATTGGTGCCCAAACACAGTATAAAACTGAATATCCTCCCAGGCTAAATGGTTTTCATGCTAACATAAAACATAAAACAAGCTTAAAGAGGGTTTGTGGTGGCCCTAAAGTTTGAATCATATAGGGACTAAAACACCCTTATAATAATACAATTGGCGATAAGATTAATGATAACTGAGATTATTGAACTTTGCCTAATTCATTAAGAACATTTTATGTTTATACACTACATTATAATGTAGTCCAGTGTAGTCCAGTAATTCTACAATTATTTCAGTTCTTTCCTTCGTCAAAAACTACAAATACCGGCCATTCAATTGAATTCAATTAACTTAGTTGGTGTCCAATCTCAGTCCACACGTTTTCGCTTTAATTGCAGTCCAGCCTCTCCGGTAGAATTCGAAACTAATCAATATCATGTTCTTCATGACTGTTGTTGTCTGGGTTTCATCGTGTGTTTTCTTAGAAGAAGGATTTTAAACAGTCACTAGTGCATGAACCTCAGGTAAAGGCTGCCTAAGGCAACATACCGCTCCAGCACAGGGGCGGGGTACACACTGATATCAATAATTTTAAGGCATGGTTTCAGATTGTTTGGTAAATGGTAACGAGCGCTTTTAATAAGAGTTTGCAATCTGCAGTAAGAAGTGCCTTTAAACAGTGTTTAGACATTTGCTTTTAATGAGTTTAAGAGGCCTACCCAACTACCAGACTCGGCACCGAATGATCCAGAATTCACCGGTAAATCGGACCACACTACCCGTTTTCAAGGTGTGTATCAGTACGCATTTCACAGTATCAGACGCCACACCGCTCTTGCCTAGTACGCGATGTGATAGTGACGATTCTCAGCGGGGTTGAAAAGCATTGCATCAACACTCAAAATTTGTTCAGGGTATGATACTGTGTAATGCGATCTGACAGAAAACACAGTGAAACATTGGATTTGAGGGGGTACCTCTTATAAATTTTACTAAATGGCATAAAATGTGTATATTTTCATCACTATTTTGTATTTGTTTTAACCCTTAATCATGTTAGACAAGGTATCTGGAATAAAAAT